AACAACCAGAATTTAAAGTTAATATAACCAAAGTCACTGGTCCTTCCTTGGAATGAACAATCCCCCAGTTCCCACTGGAGCCATTAGAAGTCTTTGTCCAAACCTTTGCCTCATGTTACAGGTAATGCAGCCTGCTCCTCGCTCTCTCCTTGATCCCATTCCATCAGCAGCTCTGAGGACACCTCTGTAAACAGATGATCCCAGTCCCAGCTCACATCTTCCTGCAGAGCGAAAGAGTCAGAAGAGGAATTACAGAGACAGAACGAGACATACCAAGAAAGAGAGCATGGGGAACAGAGGGAGCAAAGAGGGGAGAAAAGGAGCAGAGGGTGTTAATGTACACATCATAAATCTTGATTACCTGGGAGACACTGTGCCATGCTCCCCCGGTGCTCTAGAAACAGCTGGACAGGCCTTTGCTGGGAGCTCATAAGCTATATTTACTAAAAACTCACTCACCTCTTTCACCTCCTGCTCTGGTGCTAAAACCTTGGTGAGGAGTTTCAAATCAATCTCTCCGTCCTGAAGAAAGAGTGCAGTAAAATTCACTTAGCTTGCACATACAAAGGTAATGTTTGTTGTAAAATTAAATGGACCACCTTGATGAGAACAGACACAAAAACATCAAAGAAAGAGAAAACTATATGGCCTTCACTTACTAAGGTCTGGAAGGCAGAGTAATACTTCAGATCATTGTCCAAATCTCTGTAGGTCATTACCCGGTTCACCTGGATGCTAACAGCATGGCAGAATGTCAAAATAGGCCTCTGATACAGTAAAAGACTTGTATTTCAATCAGGACAACACATCAAGAAAGAAACGGTAGCCATCCTCTCTATGCTGCTTTCACACTACACCCAAACCAACATTAAGAAGTGGCTTTGGAGAAGTTTGAAATTTGTGCACAATGAGGCTCCAAGACTTCAAGCAAAGACCACAGAGAGCAGTAGATGGTTGCCAAGTGGTAAACACTTCAAATTGAAACCCAGCTGCTTATCTGTGGGCTGAAATTGGGGGGGGGGGGTTCGCAAAGTGGCCGGGGCCTAGCAGTGCATGCCAGTCCTACTTACTGCACATTACACGCTACATTGCCCCCGCAATGAGTTCAATGTGGATATTATCTTGCAAAGAGAGCAAGTCCCAGCCTAATAACCTCCACCGCTGTCATAGCCTTGCTACATATTCGACACATGTCGGCATGTCTCTCACTGCCCTCTAAATCAAAGAGCCCAGTTAGTAAAGACCCTGGTACCCGAGTTGCATAAATCATACCCAACTGTTACTTCTTCATTTCAGCCCGATAAAGCTAGACACTCCACAATGCCACAATTACAAGACGGGTAATCATCAAAGTCACCAGAGCAGGCCACTGATCTAGTGTCCGGTGCACGGACAGATACAGGTCTGAGGGACTAGCTGTGTGTGTCTATGAATACTGAGTAATAGGGATAAATTTCAAAGAGTTTAAGATGTTTATTACCTTGGTGGAGCTGCAACTTGCATGGTGAGGTCTTCTTCCTGTACTTCTTCGAGGTCTGGAATCACTGGAATATCTAAAAACCAAAAACAGAGACCACAACATTTTACAGACCATCTGAGTACATTTTAAAATGTCAAAACTTAAGAAAATCTAATAAGTAGACAGAAGACAGTATGATTAAAAAATAGACAGTAACTCCCCTGTGCATGGCTTCTAGAATTGTGCATTTTTGTGTGAGTATGCACCTGTGTGATCATGTCTGTGTGGCACTTCCTCCCCTCCCTGTCTGTTACTACATCCTCATAAGAGCTGCCCTGTCACAATAGCCATGCGGCCATGAATATTCAGGAAGTGAGGCGGCAGCTCTGCCTGCTGTGAGAGGGGCGCTGGCCAGGGGCTCCCCAGAAAGCACCCCCTGCTACCTTAGCATTTGGGCCCTGTCAGCGACGCCCACCCCCAAGACCCGCAGTGGCCGGTAGGCCGACCTCCATGTCCACTCTGCCACTCCGACTGGTGCGGCATCCAGCCATGTGCAAGAGTATTTGCTTACGGGCCCATCTGTGTGGGGTCGGAAGTCGCAGTGCGGCCTGGCAGGGGCTGCAGTGCCAGGAGCCACCAGCCCACCACTCAAACAGTGGGAACCCACTTTAATTGGCAAACACAACAGGACAGAGGATGGCTCCACTTGCAAGAAGGGCAGGGCAAACTTTTACAGTATTTTTCAGATGGACATTTGTTGGAGCAGGAAAATAAGAGAGACATAAAGGGGATGTAGAAAGATTGGTTGGAAATAACCTAAATAGTTAATCATGAATAAAAAGACTGAAATGTTTTCAATCAGTATTTTAGTGCATGCTAATACACAGCTCACCCTTATTAGCTGTACAGCTACTGTAAGTGTCGACAGTGATAAAAACAGAGAGAGGGACTCAGTGCAAACGAGAGAAACCGAGAGACAGTGAAAAAGAGAGCTGGACTGCATGAAGACGGGTTGTCAGTAATCTCTAACCACAGTACTGTACCCTGAGGGGAAAGTCAATAGAGAAGCTAAACAGAGGTGAGAGAGAGAAGTCGGCATCTGATGCGAGGAAATATCTTGGCATCTCTGTCACAATTCCTTCAAAATAACTCCTGAAAATAAAGTAGAGTTAAAGAAACATTGATCACCATTATCCCATTAAAGGTTATAGACTGTTATATATACACTATTTTGATTCTGAACATATTTCCCAGCTAGAAGAACAATTCTACAGACAACTTGGTCAAAAACTAGCACATCAACTTTCTGCAGATAACAAAACCTCACTCTCTGTTGATAACTTATTTCTTTCTCTTTTTTAAATTAAACCAAATTAAAAATGCCACACTCGTTTAGCCGCTGACAAGATTCATCTGTGTTTCTGATATCCAAATAAATGCGGGCGCGGGTATTTCATATTCATGAGGCCCCGGTGACACTTTGTCCTCTCATTTACAAAGCACTGTGTTCAGCAGAATCCGTCCCCCCTGGACCTCCCAATCAAATTTAATGGTCTTAGTGCAATGACATCAAAAAGCCTTGCTGTCCAGCTCTTTGCAAACAGCTTTCTGGGTTGCCTCTGTCCACACACACACCCTTCTTCATTTCAGCCACTAATGCACTATTAACACATTCTATAGGAGTTCAATGCCAAACAACCTGGCATGTGTTGCCTATATGCAATGTCTATTATTAAGCGAAAAAAGGAACAACATTTTTCCATATGCTTCAAATTCAACCTATTACTGGAGGTCAAGCAGGGCATCAAGGCAGCTGCAAACAGGCTGGTGTTTTCTTCTGATGCAAAGGGCAACTCCATCAGAAGGAGCTCCACACTGCCTACTCTGACTTCCTTCCCTCAGCTGGACATGTATCAAGGTGGCTTTTGTCTGGAAGCGATCAGGCCGTGCGTATCCTTATTACACAATTGCGTCTGGCTTCCTCGCTGAAGCATGTAAATATAAAAAGGGAATCATTTGCTGTGAATGTAGACATACTCCTGACAGGCACATGCCAGTCAGCAACTTTGCAGAAGAGGACATCTCTCCACTTTTGCTCGGGCTCCTATAACCTATGCAGGGATTCGGTGAAATGATTACTTAGGCACAGAATCCATTTGAAAGGTTTATGGGGCAGTATTCTAACACATCACCAGTAAGAGTAAGACAGTGAGACATGAAACAGATGAGTGTGTTTGCGATCTATTTTGACCAGCAGGAGGCTGCGGGTGCAGGGGACTCGGCTGGCCTCCTCTCTCTCTTTCTCTCTCTGTGCTTGTGGCCGGTGGACATATGGGATAAGGGTAGGGGACATAATCAAGATCGCAGGGGCTATCTCACTAACCCTCAGCACTGTAATTTCCAATGCCCCTGCCTCCAGCTCTGTATTAAGAGGTATCCCTCCACAGAGGGATGATCTTTCCGGCGGCATTAACTGCAAGAGAATCAAACCTCTCGACTCCTCATTCAGCTGGCCATTGTTTTGAGAATATAGTATGTGCGTGCATATATAATAATCGATATATACAGTATTATAAAGAAAATAACCATATCTTAAATCATGCAGATCATTAATATTGTAAGTTTTGTATTAATTTTCCCATTTTCAACAACATGGACCAGCAAGTAAGACTTTAAAATGCAAAAAATATGCCATGTTGCAATACGATATTGTAGAAAAGTAGTGTGAAATTTACATTAGGGCCAAGCGATAATTTGATATTATTGGTTACTATCATTTATCTCTCAAATCTTCACCACAGTTCACACTTCTCATAAAAAAAGTAAAATAATAACAAGTGATAAAAAGTCAAACATTTGAATAAATCACATTTTGTCCTCAAATTTTGAAATATTACCACATAATTCTAGTTTTGAGCTGCATTGTGTTGTGTTTATTATTGACTTCCAGATGAATTTTCATGATGGAAATTCTTCAATTTAAACCCCCATTTACTATTCATTGATTTATTATTATTATCATTATTAAACGTAATTCTTCATTTATGCTGAATTGTATGGTTGGCTGTAGGCAAATTTCACACTTTGCTTCTGTCCTCCAAATAAAAGCTTCAGGTTTGTGCTAGTTTAGCATTTAGAAACAACTAGAGGTGAACCAACTGATCTCTCTCTGATTTGACCTACTGTATAATTAGTACCAAATTACACGGTTCTTCTCAGGAAACATCTTAGGAAATTACTGGGAAATAAACAGACCTGTAAAATTAAGTGTTACCAATTTTTCTTTTGCCTATTATCACTACCATATTCACAATTTTGAAGAATGATGATGGGCATTTTAAACAGTTGCAAATAGCAAGTGGCAACAAAATGAATGGTATATGTTCATAAACGGCATTACACAATACTTGTCTGGTCTGGTGAGTCTTTCAGTATTGTCAGCAGAGCACTTGATGCTGCTAACCTATCTTTACTAAGGCAACTTCATCTATCTCCCCTGCAAAATAGAACAATTATCCTAGACAGGTCTTAAAAGCTGATGTTTCCTGCCTCATTTCTGTCATTGTTTGTGGTTCACAAAGGTGGACCATCAGGTGACTCAGTCAAAGCAACGATGTCACAACTAGACCTCCATTCAACAGCACTTGCCTGACACTGTGTGTGTATGTGTGTGTTTGTAACTAACTGTGTTACGCTGGGTGGTCGGTGGATCACCTCGTCCCAGCCATTATATTAAACTACGAATCTAACTTTATTTAATGAGCAGACTCTCTTATCATTTTCCTTAAAGAGTCATGCTTTTACAGTGTCACACAGTGAGCGGTTAAAGGCTCTATCAGATAGATCCATGGCGGATCTGAGGAGAAATATGGTGTGTACATCAGTGAAAAGCGATGATCTGACTGCCTGCTTATCTGCTCTACTTCCAGAGGATGAATGTGCCGGGGAGGCACTGGACGGCTTCTATTTGCCTGTGCGAAGAAACACAAAGCGGGGGATTGCGAGGGTGCTCTTACCTCCTTCATCATCTGATCCTTGGGGAGTTTGTGGTCGCAGGCGGCGGCTGTAGAAACAGGAAGTGTGACAGTATGAATTATTGAATGCTTTCAAATGCAGCCCAACAGTGAGGTCATGAGTGAGTGAGTTGGCTCCTGGCTTTGATGATCTGCTACAGTCTGACTGGACTTCAGAATAGTAGCCTCTACCAAAAGGCTCTGATGGCACTATGAAACAGTGTTGTGCTGTCTGGGTGAGCAGCCTGGCAGCCCTGGATAAGATCACCTCCAGGAAGATTGATAAAACAAACACAGCTGGAGCAGCAGTCTGAATAGTTCTTATGAAGACATGACAATTGTGACAGAAGCAGACTTTTCTACAGGGGAACATTTCTAGTTTCACACAAAGACAGTCTCACTAGTAGTTCAGGCGCTGAGCTCCAACTGCGATGAGTAACACACACAACTATGTCCCCCACCTGCTTCTGCTCATGGTGATGTCTAGTCTAGTCACAGATTGATGTGAGCGAAGGTGAGAGGAAAAAAGTAGAACAGGAAAACCTGGCTCCTAATAGCAATAAAAGTGATGACAACTCAGTCACGCTGTTTCATTAATCATGTTAACTAGTTGTTCTTAAACAGCAAGAATTAGTTGCAACCAAGGACAATATAAAAGTACGGCACATTGCCACTGTGCTCCAGACAAAACAATCATTTAAACTGACTTACTTTTTTCCATGCACACAAAAATATAACTGTCATTGAATTCAATCAGCAACTTCAAGAGTACAATGAAATGTGGATAAGTCAACCTACTCTTCCAGGTCATCAGCTGCATGTCTTCGGGAAGATCTGTGTAACAAAAAAAACAAAAAACAAAACGACTCTTAGACAGCCTTCTTCATCTGTATGTAATAATAGCAATTCTGCTATACCAGGCACAGTGGGATCTACAATAGTTGTGTCTTCTCCTCTCCTGTCTGTGTTCTTTCTCAGCACTGTTTCCTGCTGGAGCATGCAGCTATTTTCAGACTTCTCTCTATTTACACCGCTCAGCTTGAACAGAGCATACCAGACACCAAAATACTATGTTTCAACACTTCCCTGCTACAACACAGCATTTTTTTAGCACACACTGTCTGATTTAAGAAAGGTAGCAATTGCACCTGATCTCAAAACAGTAAAAATAAAAGCCTATTATTAGTACTTTAACAAGCATTTGATCATATCAGACATCATGCAGCATCAGAAAGGAAACAAAGCGCACTGTGTTATGGTAGGTTTGAAGTGGTAGACAAAAACTATGTGTAAGAGGTTTTTTCATAATGCCAAATGGTTTTGCTGGTTCTCCTGGTTGAGTAGTGCCCCCCAATGGTTTTTGAAGGTAATACACTGAGAACTGGAACAGTCTTACTTGATGTTATTTTCATATTTCACACAACCAAAAATCAAAAGCATGTTGATAATAAATAAATACGTAAATATATATTTATCTAAAACACAAGAATTGGAAAAAAAAGTTAGATAGTCTTAATTCATGTTTTAATCCATACACAAAACAAATGGAGAATTATTTTAAAAAGGCTAACCAATTCTAAGTCAGTTATCTTTACTCTTGCGTTGTCTGTCTTATCGATGATATCTTGAGTGCAGACTAACAGCTTTGAAGGTAGAGTTCAACCAGTCAGAGCAAACAGGAGCTGAGGGAGCCTACCTGCCTGCCCTTGGACTGTGTCAAGTCTGGGGGGTGGGGGTGGCGACACTTAAAGACGCATTACAAGCCCCTTGATTAAGACTCATGTAAGACAAAGTGACAGACATGGTAAAACTGTCTGGAAAAAGTTGTTAGGGATAAAATATATTGTGACAACCTGGTTTCAAAGGTTCATCAATAAACTGACAGATCATTTAGTGTCAATTAGAAGTGATAGATAGACAAATCCCGGGATTTCTGCGCTGGGATTATTGGGAGGGCAGCGGTGATTGAGCATGAGGGGTGACATTGAAGGGAAAAGTCCTTGCCGGCTCCAGGGGGGACCATTACTTACTTTGTTTCAGTGAGGATCAATGCACGTGCAAACCCCTTTTTACACCTCCTGTATTTCAATCACTTTGAGAGTGGGAATTAAGCTGGGCTACGCAAAAGCAGAGAAGCGACACGCTGACCTTCTTTGAGAGGGGAAAGATCTATTGAGTTTGCTGTTTTCCCTGCTTGCACTAACGGTGCAGTAAACTATGCAAATAACCACAACTGACTCGGCCTGTTCACTTCAATCCATCTCCTGTGCTCTCACCACCACTGAGCCTGAAGATAGGAAGCACAGTGGCACATGGAAGTGAAAACAAGAGAAGCAGTTCTACAGTATGTTAAAAAGTCTTGTGCTCAGTTAATCATGCATAGTATTTAGATTTATATTTGCTAGTTGTGGAAAAGCTTTTGGCAAACACCTTCCATCTGTTCTAAATATTTAATGATTTTTCCATGTTGTGCTCCCTGTATAAAGAGCAGACTGCGGTGGTAAGGGGTGATTAAGTGGCTTGAACCCCTGTGATGAAGTGGGTAGCTGACTAACAGTGCCCTCGTGTGGCCGATGCATTAACCATGTCAATTACCGCCTTGCTCACAGATGAAGACGAATGGAGAGTTGCCTGCTCAGACAGGCTCCCTCTAACCTTGTTGATTCACAGCCTGAGTGCCAAATATGCACTGATAAATAAGCTCATTCGACAGTATGACACTTCATTAATAACACATAACCCAAGACCACAGCTCACAGTCTCCGACTTCAGGGTAGACAGGAGATGGAGGAACACCTACTTGGCAGAACCGGATCTAGAGCTTTCTTCTGCCCAGCCGCCCTGCCGCCGGGCCGGTTTGGGAGGTGGACCCTGGAAGAAGAAGGAAGTTTAATCGCAAACAGCTTCACCTAATGTTTGCTCACTTATACAGAATAGAAATAAATCACATTTGTAATCATTCTAATTGTTTCAATCTTGGAAAATAAAGCACAAAATGATCATGTCTCTCCATACAGTAATTCTGTCATATTTATAGGGAATATGTTTCACATCAATACATATTTAACAGAATGTGAATAAAGTATAATTTGTGGTTTATAAAATTAGAAAAGCCATAAACAAGAGTCATGTAAAGACCTGTCTTTATGAGTTTTTAAAAGTGGAAATGGTGGCACGGAAGAGCAGTGGTTAGTGCTGTCGCCTCACAGCAAGAAGGTTCAGGGTTCAAGCCCTGGCCAACCCAGTGCCTTTTTGTATGTTGTCCCTGTGCCTGCTTGGGCTCTGTCCAGGTACTCCGGTTTCTTCACACAGTCCAAAGACATGCAGCTTAGGTTGATTGGTGACTCTAAATTGCCCGTAGGAGTGAGTGTGAGTGTGTGGTTGTCTGTCTCTAAGTGCAGCAGTGGTTAATGCTATCGCCTCACAGCAAGAAGGGGATAGACTGGAGACCTGTCCAGGGTGTGGTGTACCTCGTCTCACCCAATGTTAACTGGGATTGGCTCCAATATTGGATGGATGGATGGATGGAAAAGTGGAAATGTGCCAGCAGAGGGCCCTGTTGTCCACAACATAAAATCAAGACTCCAACAGGTAAAGCAGACCACTAAGCTTAAAAGGTGAAAAAGTAATTTCAGTTGTCCTCTTAAAGTACAGGGATCACCTAAACCAAAGTTCCACTGTAATGTTGTACTCTAATATTTAATTTGCAAGCTATCAAAAGATTCCTATGCAATAAACAATATGCCTGGTATGTGCAGCAACAAATCAGATATGCACTCCATTGTTTTGTTTACTATTGTTTTCATTACTGTCCATTTCCAGCACCACAACATATGGAGCGTGGGAACTGCCAAGGCCTGTAAGTCTGACTCTAAAATAGATTCACAGGGGGAAAAAATGACCCTCATTTTTTGATTCTGAAAATAGTAAACTGAGTATGCATGAGAGCCTGAGACCAGCACTTGAATGAATGAATTCCTCAGGGTGGGCACTAGACAAATGAATTAGAAAAAGACATTTCTCATTACTAAACTGGGCCTGCAGAGAACAAAGTGCTCATGAAGAATTTCTTTCATTTATGATGAAAGAGGAAATAATGTTTAATGGTTGGTTCCTTCATCAAAGCCATTTATAAATCTGAATGGCACCATTAAACAGGGCAGAGGGAGGGGGGCCCACTCTGCTTCACTGTATATTATCATTAATCAGGAGAGGTGAGACTGAACAAGCTCCCTCAGCTTTGTGTAATTAGTAACTGTCTCTTCATTAAGAACAAAGAAAAGATAGGAATAATGACAACTGAGGAATTGTAAGTAGCATTTTAAAAATTCCTTCCAGTGATGTGAAATCCCCGTGATATTTAATGTTTTTGTGAAAATAAACAATTTTCATGAGAGACAGACTAATAAAGTCAAGTGTCTCTGGATGAAATAAATTCATCCTCTGACAGTTATTTCACTCAACAAAAATGGAGAGGACCATAAGAGTCTTGAGAAACAAAACAAATCTGTGCCTCTATTTCTTCATGACCAAATATGAACCTCACTGTTGTAGTAAAATAGTTATTGCTGTTAAGGCAATTAACTTGGCCCGTGTGGTTTCTAATTTAGGATTCCCGAATGGTCTCTAGGGCAAGGAACTTCTAGTGGCCAAACCCTATGAACCCATAAAACCAACCGAGTCTTTGTTTAAAAGGATGTCAGGAATGTGACCAATCAGTTGGGTATTTTAGGCACAAGAGGCCAGGGTTGATAAACGAAGGCTGCAAATAAACCCACGCAGTCGTACAACACTCTGGAAAAATGTATTGCATGCTCAGAGCAGGTCTGAGAGGGCGCGAGAATAGTGGCTCATACATTAGGGAAGTTGGCCTAATTTGGCAAGATTAGCCTAAAGCAAGAGCATTGCTGAAATTTTTTGCTTTGGGAATGTTGGCCGGTTTACAGTTTGCCAATCCAGGAGAGAGAACTGATTCCATAAATGCCAACAATAGTGAAGCTATTTGTTGAATTTCAACCGTCACCTCTAATGCGACTTCTCTAATACATTTTTGCCCTGTTTTTCTAAATTTAGAATCACTACATCCAACATGCTTCAAGGGTAGAGAAAACTTTACAATACAGTAGCAAATCTGCCACAAATTAAAGTGATTTGTGCCACATAGGCAGTATAAGGAGTGTATTTATTAAAACTGATGGTAGAGTCATCAGGGCTTTTATGATGTAATCTGCTTGGTTTTAAAGTAAACCATTTAGAAGAGCACAATTAAAATGTGTCTGTGACTCTGTGGTTGAAACGGGGTTTATAGCTTATTTGAAGAACACTTCAAAAACACTTCAAGTAAGCATCGAAGAGCCAATACACTCAGGACAATAAATGAAGAGCTGCTACTCTAAAAGTTTTAGAATATGTCTATGCTTCAAAACCTGCTGAGGTAGGAAAACAGCAACTCATCTCTACATAAATAAGCACTCCATTAAAACTTTATACCATCTGTGTCAAGCTGGTGTTACTGTGTGTCCCAAAATATGAAAGGTGGTGAATCTCAGCAGGCCTGGATATCAAATCAAACCAGCTGTAAATGGTATAAAGTTGATGTCTGGAGCTTTAGCCATGCAAGGGTACCACTTTTTCCATGCTACATACCTCATCGTCTTCCTTTCGTTTCATATAAGACAAAACCAAAATGCATATTGATGAAGCTTACTGTGACAAAAACTATAAAATGCAACTAACTGTTAATGATCATGTGATCACATACTTCTCCCAGTGAAGCAGAGGTGGAAGATTTCCTTACGTGACGAGAATCCTCAAAAGAAGACTGGTCTGCTGGTAGGCGAGCCCTCCGTCCAGACTTTGGAAACTTGGAAATGTGCAGAGCAGATTTCAATTTTAAACAGTCAGAAGCTGGCAACAGCTACAAAAGACATTGTTTTAAGTCTTTCATCAAACAAATGTTGTCTGAATGCACTTCAAAATGCAGTAAGTCAGGTTGTTTCACTTGCATAAGCCATCCAAGTTTGGTGATTTTGCTTTGTAATTCTGTACAACTTTCAGTTCTATAAAGTCATACTGTGCAGACACGGCAATGACATCTTTTTTCATATGATAGGAACATTTTTTAATAAATAATGTGCATTAATAACCATGAAAAATTGAGCAACGACTTTGCTGAAGGACCATAATTCAACTTACAAAATATTTTTTTTAATTGTTGGCATAGTCACTGTACCGCTGTCTGGAGAAACAGCTAAGGCAGCAAGAGACGGAAAGGGTGCTTTAATCTAGATCTCAGCCTTAATAATGCTAAAATAAATTAGATGAAGTTATTAAATTTGGGCAAACAAAAGGTTGAGTTTTCATTTGGAACTGCAGCAAACAACCATCCAAGCAGCAACAAAAGGGAGAATGACTATCATCACCAGTATCCTAACTACCTGTAATAAGTATTTGCACCCATATTAAGAAGAAAGGTTGATAGCAATTTAACAGTACAGGAACATCAAAAGCTGGAACATATCGTGCGAGAGTTTAAACGGAGTAATTACAGACGTTCAGTCGAATGAGAGAAAGTAAACCAACACGACCAAATACATGCGTAACAAAGCATCACCAAAACATCGAGCTGTGCATGTCGGGAAATTTCGGATTGCACTGCTAACCACAACGTTAGCTAGATACTCGGAGACAAACCTTCGTGCTGTCAAAGCGGTAAATTACAATATGTCTTAGTTGATAACAGGTACGTTAAATAGCTAGGTTATCTATCGTTATTGTGCTGACTGGTTTAACATCGAAGATTTCATTAGCTTAACAGCTAAGTAGCTACTGTAGCAATAGTCTAGCTGAACGGTTACAGTGTAGTCCCAACTGCACTTAAAGCCCACAGAATTAGTTCCGACTGCCCCCATTCCCTCACTGCATTCTCTACGATTCAAGCGAGTCACTCACATTTTTTACCGCTGCAGCGTTTCCGAGTTTAAGGTTATCATCCATTTCTCTGCTCCTTACTAGGCCTGGCCAGCGACTTCCGGGATGTCAACAAGCGTCACATAGCAACGCTCTCCATGGTAACGCCAATCAGGAGGAAGGTGTCGCACCTCCGTGAAGCTGCGTCGGCAAGTAAATAAAAAAAAATAAACGTAATAGCGAATCCACATGAAATATTTATAACAAATTGGCTGTAATGTTGTTCCTGCTTATCCTGAGTATTGCGATAACGATGATTGCAAGTGCATTTAAAGATACTGGGCTTGTCTGGCGGGAACTCCACATGAAATGTTTATCGGTTTATATAATCTGTGGTTTTCCACACTGCAGGTTAAAAGTCCTGGTGGGGTTTGTAGACGTGCTTTTCCTGGTGCATCAGAAGATCGTGCTGACGAAGACAGGCTATTTGAGTTAAAGAAGAAGAATACGCTTTATTTTATTGTCATTGTAACATTGTGACACGTACAACGAAATGTTGTTCGGAGCCGAGGGGCCCCGGGCCGCTGCGTGCATAGGCGCCGCCATCATGGGCAACTTGGGGGAGTGGGGGGGGGTGTTCAGTGTCTTGCCCAAGGACACTTCGGCCACCAAAGGGTGCAGTTGCAGGATAGGTCGGGGCAATCACGGGCGTGGTGTTGGGTCAATAAAACATTGCTGTCCAACGCAGAGAACAGACTATGTCATCTAAACAAATAGCTTCTTTCGCACAATTCCCAATTTCTCTTCCTCTTCCAAATTGTTTTATATATACATATATATTGTCATAACAAAACTCCGTCATCCTCATTATCTCATCCACCGTTGTGGTCTGCTACAACATCCAGTCTGAGAAAGGAAGTAAAGAGTGCGACCTGATGTCCGCTAGATGTCATGGTCGCGCATGTTTTACTGGCGAGAAGTTGAACAGTAGCAGCATCTAGCGGATCTCAGCATCTGCTGGGCTCCCCTGTGCACCATTAAGAGTCTGTTAACTTTGGCCTCCCACGCACTTTTGAGTTTCTTCTGAAGCTTCAGAGAATCTTGCAGGTGTCCTATTGTAGGCTACTTATTTATAAAAGTTTAGTCTACTCAAGGGTCTGGATAAAGGTGCCTAAATGGTGGAGACCTAGGAGCACATAGCAACGCATTGCTGAAATCCAGTCTTATTATTCATCAGAGTACAAACGGTGCTCCTCTCCAGCCGTAGATTAGTATAGAAAACAAAACATTCCCTTGGCAAATCAATCTAATCAATGTGGTTTTCTGTTTTCCCCCGGAGCCACTCTCCCTCTTGCGACATCACACATTGCCCAATATTTTGTAGTTTGTAAAGTTTGATTCAAAGACATCTCTGTAAGCCTAATTAAAGGCATTTTAGAATGGGACAGATCTCATTGTCCGAGCACAGGTTGCCCCTCCCTCAAAAAAAGAAACGTCACAGCTTGTGCCTATAAAGTTTGAGTGAGGGTGGAAATCGTCTGTGTGTTTGAGGCTGGACTGCAGGGAGACAGCAGAGAGGCGCACTGACTCCAAACTCGCAAGTGGATGGAAAGAGCCCTGTGCAATGGAGAAACTGAACCACGGCGCAGAGATTGGTGCCCTGTAAACTGAAGAAGAAGAAGAAGGAAGAGGTGCCTGAATGAGACAAAGGGGAATGAGGAGTAGGATAAAGGGTTTTGACGTAAAGTTGAGATTATTTTCCAAAATGACGCGGATTTGCTCTCATGCAAATGCGCATTTTGCAAAGATGACATAGCACTTGAGAAAATGGGATCCCTTCAGGAACAGAACTCACTCACGACCTGAATGAATAGAGAAAAGAGATTCTGTTCAAATCAGAATTTGGTTTGGCTTTTTATTTTTCTTCTTTTACTTGACAAGCCTGGAGTGTGAGTGAATGCAGGGTGAAATATGAATCTGGGCAAAGCACTTCTGTTTTTCCTCCTCTCAAACTGTGTGACAATGAGTTTGTCGCTATCCACTTGCACCACTGTGGACATCGACCACATAAAGAAGAAGAGAGTAGAGGCGGTCCGCGGACAGATCCTCAGTAAACTTCGGCTGACCAGTCCACCTCAAACAACAGGTCCAAGTCAAGTGCCGCTTCACGTCCTGGCTCTTTATAACAGCACCAAGGAACTCATCGAGGAGCTGGGAAGAGACAGGCAGCAGAGTTGTGGACAGGATAACACGGAGACTGAGTACTATGCCAAAGAGATTTACAAATTCAACATGATCAGTGGTTCGCCAGAAAACAGTAAGTTTATTGTTTTTGGCCAATATTATTTAAGATTTTCTTTTGCATCGTCCCTACTCCCCCAATAAACTACAAACCTTTAATTGATGGGTAATTATACGTGACTGACGAGATAATTGTCTTTGGCCGTGCGCTATGCAACCAACATTTTCAGTGGGAAATTCCTAAACTTGATCGAAATTCCTTGTTGGAATTTATGTAGACTCGATTGTGCAGATCCGTTCAAGCACATAAAACCAAAAACGTTCGTCTGTCTACAATAAAAACGTGAAGTAAAAACGGGGATTAGATTTTTCCAGCTGAAGTCCACTAGTGTCTGTGCAGCTTTTACGCACAGACGCGCCTGTGAGCAGCGGCAAAGGACATGGCAAAGTAAACACTCTAATTGGAATGAGCACAATTCCATATACATACCTCACGCCAAAGCCATGGGAACTCCAGCCTAACTCTGACACATTCTTAAGCAGGGAAAATTCTCAGGCACTTAGGTCTAATATTTATTGCCAACTCCAATACCTCACTTCCATTTTCTAGCTGTGAGTTTCCTAATATTTTTCATCCACTGTCAACTTTCAGTATTTCTTTCTATCCAGGAGCTAAGCAGCTCAGTGTTATGATCTAATTCCCTTGTTCATCTACTGTATATTGGTATTTCCTGTATAAAACATGTTCCAACCATTGTTCCTGAAATCTGAAACAGAAGCTCACTGAGCAGCACATTCTCCAGAGAAAATCTTTTTTTGTAACAGGACAAGTTGGATTTGTGCCCATTCGCAGTCCACCTCATGCTTGGTGATACCGTTTTGAAATCAACAGGTGTTTATACTGTGCTGTGATATTGAGCAGAGCCTCTGCTGGTTCCAGCATAAGTCCTGAATCGAATCCATTTCACAGGTCCCACAAAGTGCTTCTGACATTCAAAATACACAGTTTGGGGTTTATCCACTGGTTAGAAGTAGCCAGAGCTCCCAAAACAAACAGAAGTCTAAGGAGTGGGATCAGTGATGGCCAGGTGCCCAGGACACATCACGCTGGTCTCATACAGTACGCCATACTGTAGGTGATAATACAAGACATGGACTTGACTTTCTACTGGCAACACTGGCTGCCTAGCACAGCCTCTTCAAGGAGGATAAGTAACATTAACAGAGGATGCCAACATGCTTTAATTCCATTTCCATTATATAATTTTCAAGAGAGCAGGGCATGTTGCAGTATGAAGGAACATAATGTCTGTCACCTTAAAAAAATGCTGGATATAATGAGTTTTACATTCACTGTTTCTGGAAGGCAGGACCATTTGGGAAAATAGTCAAGTTTTGCTTTTTTTTTCATACACAGTTAAAAAGTTAAACAGAAACTTTTTCTCTCATACTTGAATGCACCACTTGCTCCAGACTACTTCGCTAGACACGACTACTAATGCAAATCAGGACATTTGCCATTTATGACTAGATGAAGCATTACTGAGACTTGGCCATCTATGTAGATGCTCCTTTTCTGGTGCATCATAAGGCCAGTGTGGCTCAGTATGTTATCATAAACCAAACACTGTTGAAGTAATTAGATAAAAACATACTTCCACTCAAGAATGAACTCTGGTGTGATAACATTTTCAGAATCCACTGGCTCTTATAGGTTAAAATTAGAAAAGCCATGCCTTGCACTCTGAAGCATGCAGGGAAATTTCATGGCACTCACTGACTCAGTGTAAGGTCAGTAAAAATGGGACTAGCACTGAGGACAACAGGGTATCTAATATATAAGGGATAGTAGAACGATGATGTCATCTGAGCAAACAGAGATGGAGGTTTTTGGCCTGCTCCCAAGGGACCCAAACACACTAGCTTCGAGGCCTTTACCATTTTTACTTCCTCAACCTTAATCAAGTGGGGAAAAAAGTTGTTTTTCTTCCGAATGGAGCTCCATCACATTATCTCATCTGCTGCAGTGGCCTTTCGCAGTAAATGTCTCCAGTCTGAGGAAGGAAGGAAGAAAAAGAGGCTGTTCTCTAATACAAAAGCAGCATTTGAATTCTGTATATGAAAACTTTTATGTTAATTTCCCAGGTAATTGGTGAGTGAAAATACAAACACATTTAAATTCCAGATGCTGCAATTTAGTTAATAATAGAGCACTTACATTAATATATTTCCAAAGACATTTCTGTTGTCCTTTATGAGACCTGGACACCTCAGCAGCTGGCTAACACCTGCTGCCTTACTATTTGTTTTGTTTACCTCCACAAACTCCAGAGAGACAGACATCATAGACAATCCTTAAGGGCAAAAAGAGGTGATTTCCAGGAGTTTTATCAGGGAACTTCTGTGCCCTGAGAGGAGACAAGCCAGACACAGGAGGCTGAGCATGTGTCAGGGTGCAAGGTGTGGCTGATAGCATCTGGGCGAGGCACTTTACAATATGTGAATTTTTAAAGAAGAGCTATTCAAACATTTGTCTCCAGGCCCTCTTGTACAACCTGACCGCTAAATCCCTCATTCTAAGACCAAATATTGTCAGATTAATTGAGTTAATTAATTGATATGAGAATGAGATCAACTGGGCCTCATTTTGATATCAGGCTTTTATAATTGACTATACAGTTGCAAGTGTGTTAATAAGAATGTCCCTAGAATGGTGCGTAATCTAAGCAAAGCTGCAGTAATAACAGCACAGTAGATCTAATTAGTTTTGTGCCATAATAGTTTTACAGAGTTTATTTATTTAAATCTAATATTTAACACAGAAAACTCAAAACCACTCATTTTTTGGTGGGTTTGCCAGTAGAAATGAATCTTAGTTACATTCATCTGTGCTGCTTGAAATAGTTTAGTCAAATTTATGTCAGCCTCCTGACACTCAGTCTTAATAGCTATCATCTAAACATGGCGAGCGTCAGAAAATTAGTGAATGCATTTTATTTTAATTATACAAGCAATTCCCTCCACTCACCAATATGGAACAAATTACCTTTCAGACCCTTGGCAAAAATAAGCTATAATGTGAAATCCACCTAAAACCATTGCAATGGGACAGATGAGGTCATTCAAAAGGAAACCAAAGACCTGATTAGAATTTCAAATCTTCCCTTAAAGTGGGGCTTTCCACCTTGTGCGGGGGAGGTAAAAGGGGGGAGATGATGCAGCTAGTGAGGGGGAGGGAAAGGCTACTGAGGTTTCCTCCTTGTAGATTGTGTGGAAACACTGGACAGATATCTGGCTGGGGATGAATGCTGAGAAGGTCACCTATAAATAGGGAAAGCTGAAAAAACTTTGTGGAAATATAACATAATGACTGGGAGGACACTGAAATAGGATTATGGGTCAAATGAAGTACAGATTCTTGGAGATGTGTAAGTTCCTTTAGCGTGACACAGAAACTACTGAACTTGTGTTTCCATTTGTCCCGAAACAGCTCAAGGTGCAATTCAGCTAAAGGTGCATCTTTCAAGCATCAGCAAATCTGAGGCTTGCTAATAACGCTTAAGCTGGGGGTAATAAATTATCCATGGCTTGGCTGTGAATGATTGTTTCCACTTGGCTCATAAAAAGCTTTCTATGTGCTTGTTTTGCTCAAGACTGCATGTGCTTGGCCTGTTAAAATAACAAACTCTTCAATGGTATCACCACATAAAAAGGGGAAAGACTTCAGTGCTACAGGAAGCTTTTCAGATAGAATCACAATGGGGCCACTTATTTAGCTGATTCAGCTAAAGGTCAGTGTACAATCACACACACACTATACAGCACGTTACTGCTTGTCAAGCATGAACTCAGTGGTGTTACTGTCATGATGGAGTTGCCCTCCTCGGTGGTTTCTTGGGTATTGTTTTTGCTCCGGCACGTGAGCCCACATGTTTCCAACTAGGTCTCTTGGTTCCAGGGAATACTTTGGCCTCTGTCCGAGGCCTTGGAGCACCTGTTGGGCTCCGGAGCTGGTGGGAGGAGGAGCATGCTGCAGGCAGCTCCACCACCACATGGGACATTTGGTTTTCATTTTATGACTTAAAGTTGTTGCTGACTCGGGCCGCACAAAGCATAAGCAGATGTTTTGTAGTAATGTCTCCCTGGAATAAAGAATATAAATTCAATAGAACGCGTTAAAGAAAATAAGTGTTGTTTTTATCTGTAAACTATCAGGACTCATAGAAGGAAATCCTCTACTAAATTCTCATCAATACTCAGAAGGTAAACACGTCTGTAAGATGTCAGTGAAAAACAGGATTTGTTGAAATGTGCCCAGTGAATTAGCAGATGGATAGAAACTTAAATGGATTCTGACAAAAGAAACAATTAGAGCTTCAATCTGATTTTTTTTTTTTAAAGGAAAGCTTTGATAACATTTCCATTTAACCTGCAGATGACCTTCTTTACTGCCCGAAGGGTATCACCTCCAAGGTATTTCGCTTCAACGTCTCAGTCATGGAGAAGAACTCCACCAACTTGTTCCGGGCCGAGTTTCGAGCCCTGCGGACGCCAAATTCCAGCGCCAAGAAAAACGAACAGAGGATTGAGCTCTACCAGGTGTGTGAACTGACCGTTCATTTCCAATGTTAGCATAGCACAGGGGGGTACTGTGCTCTAATTCCCTCAGAAGGCCTGTGTAGGTCAGTGAGAAAGATGAAAACATTTATATTAGGGTGCTCGGCTCCCCTTTCTCCCCTTTTCGTGCGCTGATCATTATACCATATGCTTACAGTCAAATGGATTCTACATGAGGACAAATTTAAGCACTTGCACAGCCATCTTTAAAAAACCCTAATTACCATTTGGCAGTTTCTTCTTTTGTAGCTGTCAGTCTCAAAGCAGTTGTCCATCCTTGTTAGCTCAAGCAAGGCATTATGTTTTCAGCAGGGGATTTATGCTGTAGATCTGCATCGGCATGTGTGAGTTTATGAAGAGAAGTGTGTTAAAACTTGCATCTGCTAGATGTTTATGTGTGGGGTGGCAAGAATGGATTTTTTTTTTTTACAGATTCCTCATTAATCTCCCATGAGAGACCAGGAGTAATGATCAGGTTCCAACATTTCCTGCTAGGGAGACAAGCGTCTCCGGACTGCATACCACCTCTGAGGCAAGGCTCTGGCCAGCGCTCAATACAGACTGTCAAGCCCGTAGATTGTTTCCAGGGGCCTAGGAGGAGATAGAGGCAGGGTCACCAACTGGAGGAGTAAACGGAGCTGCTCACTCGCCCCCGCACTTTTCAGGCTAGAACTGATTGGCAGAGGGCTAACGCTGGCAGTCCTCTGGCCCCTTGTTCCCACAGGAAGGCAGATTAGATGCTGACAATGTTCAGGAACCCGGTTATTGATAACACTGATGTGGTTTCTCGCCGCACACAAACACCTTTGTTCAGAGAAGTGCTGGTGGAGATAGGAATGTCTGAAACACATTGGTTCATTTTTCTCTGTCGTCAGATTTCTAAATTTGGGATTTCGACATTACACACTTTGGACACGAGTTGCCACAGAGATACCTGCAAACCTGCATTCTGAACTGTGTGATACTGCATCTGGGAGCTGAGCTAACGTCAAAGTTTGAACTGTCGATGTAAAGGACAGCCAGGTTCTCATTGGCAGGAGGGTAACACGCAGGCATTAACTTGCAAAATGGGGATATCAACATAGGCAGTCACTTTTTCCATGAAGAGTAGACATTTGGCCCAAGGCATCCTGGAGAGTCTGGCTCAGACAGAAAGCTCTGGTTCTGTGTGTGTGTGTGTGTGTGTGTGTGTGTGTGTGTGTAAAAAAGAAAAAGAGAGTTTATGCAGCTGGGTCACATTTTCATCTTTCCTCACAGATTCTCCAGAAAGATGACCCCAAAGCCAAGCAGCGCTACATTGGGGGCAAAAATGTCCTGACCAAAGGAACACCTGAGTGGGTCTCCTTTGATGTGACAGAGACAGTGAGAGAGTGGCTGATGTACCGACGTGAGTGGGACCCCTCAGACTTCATTGCATCACATCTTACTACATATCATTCCAAAGAGGACTATTTCATTTAAAATGAAGGAGAATGGCTTCAGGAAAACATGTCAGCCTCTTACACCTCTTTGCTGTTGTTTCCCCTTAGAGACCAATCTTGGCCTGGAGATCAGCGTGCACTGTCCCTGCCACACTTTCAGACCTAATGGCGACATTATCGAGAATGCCAATGAGGTGCTAGAGGTCACGTTCAAAGGTAAATTGCATTGGATTTCTCAGTGATGTGACAAATTAATGCACTGGGTTTGTATTATCAAGCTTGTTATGTCTTACTCATGAAGGAGCTGAATCAATATTGTCAAGGTTCAAACTGATCAATCAGACACTTAAACAAAGAATCCTTAACTGAGGAAAGTAAACAATGAAATCTCTAAAAGAATAATGATATTTGGATAAGAAATAAGTTATAAAAAAAATCAACAAGAGTAATGATTACATGAAGGTACAGTGCCTTGCGAAAGTATTCGGCCCCCTTGAACTTTGTGACCTTTTGCTACATTTCAGGCTTCAAACATAAAGATATAAAACTGTAATTTTTTGTGAAGAATCAACAACAAGTGGGACACAATCATGAAGTGGAACGAAATTTATTGGATATTTCAAACTTTTTTAACAAATAAAAAACTGAAAAATTGGGCGTGCAAAATTATTCAGCCCCTTTACTTTCAGTGCAGCAAACTCTCTCCAGAAGTTCAGTGAGGATCTCTGAATGATCCAATGTTGACCTAAATGACTAATGATGATAAATAGAATCCACCTGTGTGTAATCAAGTCTCCGTATAAATGCACCTGCACTGTGATAGTCTCAGAGGTCTGTTTAAAGCGCAGAGAGCATCATGAAGAACAAGGAACACACCAGGCAGGTCCGAGATACTGTTGTGGAGAAGTTTAAAGCCGGATTTGGATACAAAAAGATTTCCCAAGCTTTAAACATCCCAAGGAGCACTGTGCAAGTGATAATATTGAAATGGAAGGAGTATCAGACCACTGCAAATCTACCAAGACCTGGCCGTCCCTCTAAACTTTCAGCTCATACAAGGAGAAGACTGATCAGAGATGCAGCCAAGAGGCCCATGATCACTCTGGATGAACTGCAGAGATCTACAGCTGAGGTGGGAGACTCTGTCCATAGGACAACAATCAGTCGTATACTGCACAAATCTGGCCTTTATGGAAGAGTGGCAAGAAGAAAGCCATTTCTTAAAGATATCCATAAAAAGTGTCGTTTAAAGTTTGCCACAAGCCACCTGGGAGACGCACCAAACATGTGGAAGAAGGTGCTCTGGTCAGATGAAACCAAAATCGAACTTTTTGGCAACAATGCAAAACGTTATGTTTGGCGTAAAAGCAACACAGCTCATCACCCTGAACACACCATCCCCATTGTCAAACATGGTGGTGGCAGCATCATTGTTTGGGCCTGCTTTTCTTCAGCAGGGACAGGGAAGATGGTTAAACTTGATGGGAAGATGGATGGAGCCAAATACAGGACCATTCTGGAAGGAAACCTGATGGAGTCTGCAAAAGACCTGAGACTGGGACGGAGATTTGTCTTCCAACAAGACAATGATCCAAAACATAAAGCAAAATCTACAATGGAATGGTTCACAAATAAACATATCCAGGTGTTAGAATGGCCAAGTCAAAGTCCAGACCTGAATCCAATCGAGAATCTGTGGAAAACTGCTGTTCACAAACGCTCTCCATCCAACCTCACTGAGCTCGAGCTGTTTTGCAAGGAGGCATGGGCAAAAATTTCAGTCTCTCGATGTGCAAAACTGATAGAGACATACCCCAAGTGACTTACAGCTGTAATCGCAGCAAAAGGTGGCGCTACAACGTATTAACTTAAGGGGGTTGAATAATTTTGCACGCCCAATTTTTCAGTTTTTTTATTTGTTAAAAAAGTTTGACATATCCAATAAATTTCGTTCCACTTCATGATTGTGTCCCACTTGTTGTTGATTCTTCACAAAAAATTACAGTTTTATATCTTTATGTTTGAAGCCTGAAATGTGGCAAAAGGTCGCAAAGTTCAAGGGGGCCGAATACTTTCGCAAGGCACTGTACATATACAACACTAAGGGGACACAGCTAGCCTGGCTCTGTCCAAAATCTGCCTATCAGCATCTCTGAAGCTCACTAATGAGCACATTCTATTTTGTATTATTGTGCTTATGGTTATGTTCATTCCCTATAAAACTAACATATCAAGTTGTGGCTTTAGGGCAGTTTCGCTTCATACTCTTTCTCAGCTACATGCAGTGATAGATCCTGTTCCCTCTGGACAGAGCCAGGCTACTGTAGCTGTTTACCCCTGTCTCCAGTCATGCTAGGCTAAGCTAATGCTTCATATTTAACTGATGCAGTTAAATATTGCTCTCAAATAATACGCCTTAAAACTGCATACATCTCCCTCTTAAATTCATATATTTTCTACTTTCATCACTTCTTGTAAAATTAGAGATCAGTGAAACAAGCGTCTGAATTTGATGCAGATTTAATTTTAAGGCCGCATTTTGGTCTCTGTGTTGCCTGTTGTGGACGTACATAGCTGTTGTGTAGGTTTCCAAAATGTTCAGTGTCGTCCTGCCTGTGGTTGCTTGGCCTGTGTCCTGTTTGCTCAGGATTTGTCTCCACTTTGATCTCTGAATGAAAAGACGTTCTGCCAGTTTGTATTCATGCTCAAGAGCCAGATGACAATCCAGCTTGTTTAAACTGTTTATTCCAAATATGCATCTCATGTTTGTTGATTTATTCTGATTAGTGCTGGTTTAAGGATAATTTGCATGAGTGCATCTCAGGACCAGTTGATATAAGAGGCTCTTTATGGGGTTCTAGTTTCTAATAAATTTATATTGCCTGAATCTGAAGTTTCCAAAATGTCCTAATTATTTTTTGATGATTAGAAGATGTTGGCAAACATTGATTTTTTTTTTTTCAATATTGTCCAACAAAAATATTTATATATGACTTTATTGGATGCTGCATCTGATGTAGTCATGTTGGGAGAGTGGGCTCTTTTACAAATGGCAGTGAGTTATATGTTGTTGTTTTCTCACCCTTCATTTTGTTTAAAAGACCTTTTGTTTTAATGCATTTAGTGCCAGATTATCCAAGGCATTGATTCTGAGTACCAGTGGTGCAGGGTGTGCTGAGAATCTGGTTCTAACACTCACAAAGTCCCCTTTTTATAAGACTTTTTTTTTCTTTGAAATAAAAAAAAGCTCAGTCCAGCATGTTCCTCTAGCAGCAATTCTCTTTGAGGTCTTTCATTAAGATAATGGGTTTCCGTTCTAAGTGGAGGAGAGAGACACCAAGCATGGGAATACAGGTCATCTGGTACCTCACTTAGCAGTGGGTCCCCTGGGCCCTCAGTCCTGGGAACACTCCTGACAGGCCTGGCCACAAGGAATGTGCTTCCACGGCGCTCAGACGTTTGGCCCTGAATTAAAGAGGGGCGTACATGTCCACCAGCAGCATCTCTCCTGAGATATCCACTGCTTTAGCTATCAGGGGTAGATTGGATGAACAGATGCAACCCCAGGGGTGAGGATGGAGGAAAGAAGGAAATTAGAGGGACCGGTGTTAAATAATAATAAAGGAGTGGAGCCCAGCTTGGAGGCTACAGTGTCCTTCTGTAAAACTTACAACATCTGCGCTGATTAGTTACAGCATAGGCATCTTTACATACAAGAAAACCTCTGTATTAGTTTTTCTTGATATCCTCCAGACTAACTGATTTGATCCTGCAGGTATGGAAGTGGACTATGATGATCGGAGCCGTGGGAAAAAACAGAAGGAGCAGCTCTACCCCCACCTCATCCTCATGATGCTCCCTCCCCACAGGCTGGATGCCCAGTCCTCTTCCCGCAGGCGCAAGCGGGCACTTGACACCAATTACTGCTTCAAGTAAGCACCTTTCCTTGCCCAGGAAAATGTTATGCATTGCTGGACTGTGATTCATTCTAACATAATTTCTCAGGCTACACCTGCACTATTGCTCACTTTGGAGAATTGAACACTGGGCTAGTTCAAATATTGCATATAAAAATGGGAGCAATTTTGGTTTGCAGGCAGGGCTTATATTATCAAGTACACCAGCTAAGGCAGCACGAGGTGGAAATATTAATTGTCAAAAGAAGAGTACATGGGCACAAAATAAATCCAAATAGCTTGTTTATCAGCCTGCTGAGCATGACAGGGCTGATACAAGTCGGGATCTGTCCCAGTACTAGCAAGCATTACCTCCTCTTAACACGCTGTCCTTGACCCTGGATTTCCTCTGTCAGACTGACAGGCAGCACCTGGGCTGACTCCAAGAGGGAAAATAAGGGCACACCTAGGAGTGGAATTTCTCTCTCATCTCTGGCTGTGAAGCCACAGGGAGGAAAATTCATACAACTCTTAAATTTGTGCGTTGTCAGTACCATGAAGAGTGAAATCCTCTCTGTTCTCTCTTTTCTGCAGCAATTATGAGGAGAACTGCTGTGTGCGACCACTATATATTAATTTCCGCCAGGATTTGGGCTGGAGATGGATCCATCAACCTGAAGGGTACTATGCTAACTTCTGCTCTGGTCCCTGTCCTTACCTACGCAGTGCAGACACCACCCACAGCTCGGTGAGACAAACTGCACCTGCACATTAAAGTCATCACTCTATTTGGGAGATGTGTTCGCTGATCCTCATCTCTTTCTTCCCCTAGCTGCTGAGCCTCTACAACACCTTGAACCCCGAAGCATCCGCCTCACCCTGCTGTGTTCCTCAGGACTTGGAGCCCCTCACCATCCTCTACTACGTGGGTCGCTCCCCGAAAGTCGAGCAGCTCTCTAATATGGTTGTCAAGTCCTGCAAGTGCAGCTAAACTTCAGGGCTTCAGAGCCCAGCAAGAGACACAGGATGTGACGGTTCCCAGCACTACTCAAGAGCGGGTATGAGCGATTAGAGGGGGTGCGGTACAGTTTGTCCTCGATGAGTACCCCTTCCCTCTGCTTCAGCCTTGCCTGAGCTAAAAAAAAAAACAAAACAAAAATGCAATCCACCACTCTGCTCACAATCGTTGGCAGTATTTACCTAGAAGACCCGTCAAACACCACTTCACTAACAACGCTCTCAAACCTATCAGACCTCTTGTTGAACCTTCAGCAATCAGCTTCTGACATCAGTGTTTCTTTTTTATTTTTTTTTTTTTATATTCCAGCATTTTGAACAGCCTATACCTCAGTGTTACATGACATTGGTATTAAGAAAATGTTTTTGATTGAGGCGAACAGAAGAATAACTGTCTTGATAGAACCACTGCATTCTCAAGGACATAAATAATTGAAGTAACAAAAAAAAAAAAAAAAAAGACTGAGAATCCAGACTGGATGCAGCATGATAGGAATACATTAGAGAGGGCTGGATAAAAATTAAATGTTTTCTGAGAGAAAACACATCCCTTGGCCCTGATTCACAGGACTCCTTCGAATATCCGAGCTGGAAAATGACGCTGTGCCTGCCACAGCTCCCTACACTGTTTATCTAGGACTGAGTGCTGTTGAATAAAAAAAAAGATCTTAGAAAGAAAAGAAAACATGCTGGAAAACCAACCTTTATTTCAAAGTAGTATTCCATCATTATGTTTACCTCTGTAGTGCAACAGGATGGTGATTCCAGGGATTGTTTCGTTTTCAAGTGATGCCTTCTGTTGTATGAGATGATGTACGTCACTAAGTGAACACTTATCTAGATCACAAACTGTAAATGTTTATCTTATTACTCTTGAAACACTTTTTTAATAAAAAAAAATGGAGTTAGATAGAATTGTTCTATTTTCATTATTGCTGAGTTTTATGTTTTTGTTACATATTTTAGAGCACTTTATTTTAAAGGATAATATGCTAAATTTAGATGACCAAAGTGAAGAAATCCAGTCCAGTGATAACTTTCAGTGTAAAGTATGTGTGGTGAACAAATACATTGACTGGTGTGATCAGCATGTTTCGATGTTTTCTAAGTATCTGTGTGTGTTGTATGCTACAAACTACCTAAATGACTCTAAAAAAATATGACATTTCCATGCATGTGATTTGTAAACAGTCAGGAACAAAACTCATTAAATTATCAGACTGTAAACACTGCTGCCACCACAGTAGATTACACACACTGATTTGGATTCTCCTGTTGGATACAGCATGCACTGGCTTTAACAGTAGTAAATCCACACCATGAAGTTTAACATCAGTCACTACAAAAAATCCAACAAGTGTAAAAAAAAACAACTGCATTGAAAACTACAGTTTGTGCAAAATCACTCTGATGATAATCATCGGTTAATGACAAATACATGCATGAAAGTCACCATAAACATATGCTGAATATATTGATAGAGAGATGTTTTTCAAATGAACACTCCCTGAGTGAACTTGCTATGTGGTCCCAAGTCTGCTGGTGCACCATTAACCTTCTTTGTAGGCAAGGCTGTGCATAGCCATAATTCTTCTTTATGCTTTGAGCTACCGAAACAGCCAAACAGGCCTTTTGGTGGAAAATGTTCAGTAAATAAATACTGATGCAATAATACAATAACTTAATTATTGAGCCAAAAATATTACACATTACTTATTTGGTCCATCTTAAATAAAAAACAACAACATCAACATCGCTGTAGTTTACAGGAATATTCACAAGCCATTTAATTGAATTTAATCGCTAACAATCAATTTTCTTTTGAAGCCCACAAGCAAAGCATGCTACACTTCAACACATTCTTAGATATGGCCTGATTTGGCAACAATATGGCTTCCACCAAGGACTGTGAGTTGGAGTGTCTACAGCCAGGTGTCACGCATAAAAGGAGCTTTTCTGCATGCTCACCACTTACGGCAGCAAGATGAGAGGCTGTTGATTTCTGCAAAACTTACCATCTCACCTGTTTGAATAAATTATTAGGGAAAAAAATGACTACAAGTTCACCTGCCACTGCTTGAATAAAATGCTGAATCCTGATTTTAAAATATCAATGGGACTTGATGAACCACCTGCTGAAGGCTTTCTGTCAGTGAAATCCTTCTGTGGCATCAGCAGCATGGAGAGAATGAGGGCTGAATATAGCTAAGGGGTATGATGGGAGGGGGCATGAGCTGAAAAGGCCATCTGATGTTGAGCTGCGCAACAAA